ACAGTACATTAGGGGGTGTCTATGTTTGGTAAATAGGATCTTTGGGGAAAAAATAGGGAGTGACTGCCACTAGGCACAGGGTTTCTTTTTAATGTAATGAAAATGTTCTAAAATTGTGGTGTGGTTACTCAACTTTATGAATATACAAAAAAACTAAAACTGTACAAAAGGACAAATACGATTCCACTTATACGAGGTACCTAGGAGTCAAATTCATACAGGCAGAAAGTAGATGGTGTTTACCAGGGCCTGAGGTGAATGAGAATGGCAAGTTAGTGTTTAATGGGTACAGAGTTTTGGTTTGGGAAGATGAAATAGCCTGGAAGTGGATAATGGTGATGGTTGCGCAACAATGCGAATGTTCTTATAGCCCCTGGACACTACTTAAAAATGGTTAAAATGGTAAATTTTTTGGTATGTGTATGTTGCCACAATAAAAAATAATTGAACTGTATAAATAGGTGAATTGGATGGTATGTGAACTATATCTCAATAACCCTGTTAAAAATAAATAAGGTGTGTGGTTGGTGTGTGTGTGTGTGTGTGTGTGTGTGTGTGTGTGTATGTAACAATATTAAACTTGCCACCATAATGGGTAAACTGCAAGTCTAAAATTGTGAAGGTTAAGTGGCTCTGCTAACAGACTCTCTAGCCTGGAATAAAATGGCAGATATACCAAGGCCAGGATGCTAGTCTTAACATTCTCATTGCCCTCCCAGTACATCTGCAGCCTGAGGAATTTAATCCACCACTGTGGCTTCAATATCCCTGTATTGATGACTCCTGAATATAAATCGTTACATGGGAACTGACCTCAGTTCCTGAACTCCTGCCCATTGGACAGATGTTCCCAAATTCCTGAAAACCTCTCAAACATCACGTGCTCAAAGAGGGCCACAAAATGGAGGAGCTTAGAAAGAGCGCCCTGGGACACACCACTTACTAGCCACGAGCCGTGTGGTCTTGGGGAAGTGCTGAAGTGACCGGAACATTCTGAGACTCTACTTCCTTACTTTTAAAATGAGAATAACAATACCTCGCTCACACAATTATTCAGATGATTAAACCAAATAAATGCATATAAAGTATGCAGAGGTTGAAACATCAGGCATACAGAAATTTCTAAACACATGTTCACTCTCTTCTCCTCTGAATTTCCTTCTTTAGTCTCAAACTTAAAGGTGTCGCCATTTTCCCAATCTATAATAAACCTTAGTATTATCACTGATTCTTACTTTGTTTCCTGTATTAGTCTTCAAATTTTATAAATCTGCCTCAGAAACATTTTTTATTTGAGTCTCTACCTTCATTTATCACTGAAAGTGCTTTAATATAGGCTTTGATCATATCTCAAACTTTGGCATAATTTAATTTTATCGTGCCATTATCAGTCCATCATCCTTATTAAAATAAAATTATCTTCCTAAAAAATAAAGTATATCTCCTACTTTAAAACCTCTATTACCTTTAAAACCCAAAAACCTTAGCTTGGTACTCAACATAAAACTCTTCAAACACTGACTCTTCACTTTCCCTTCCCAACTACATCTGGCCACACACACCACCCTCTACATTTTTTACCTGTGAAGAGAGAAGTTCTATCATAGGTTAGGGGTAGTTTAGCACTCAAGACTAGTAGTCATTGTCTGGAAAAACTACTATATATTATAGTTGATGTCACAATTAGCTACCATGACTTCATTGTCCTGGGTCAGATCCTTTGTACCTAATATCTGAACAAAGAGAATGTCTTCTGGTTATTGTAGGGTTTGGTAATCAATGATTCTCCAACTCAAATTTCAGGAAAATGAGTATGAAAAAAATATTGGCAGGTAGGAAAAGGTAGGATAATCTTTTCTGGAAAATGAACTAGGGTATTTTAGGTAAATTAATAAATTGGCCAGGAAACTTTATTCCTTGGGTAACTAGGTCTCTCCTATAAATTTACTTCTTGATTTGCTGACTCAGTGAATTCAAGTTATATTACTTTGTCTTAGATAAGAAAATCAAACCAGTCAGTTGTCTGTTAAAGAAAATCTTTGCATATAAAGCACATGGGTTTTTTTAAATTTTATTTGCCAAATTTCTCAGAAAGTATATAACCACATGGAAAGAGTAAACTTTGATCATTTAACTCTAAGACTAAAAGGACAAGAAACTAGACAATAGCATGGGTAAATATTTGAACTCATTTATACAACTCCAAAGATCTTTTCTTTTCCCTCACACCATACTATGGGGAAAACATAAAATAAATAAAAACAAATTTGGTATGTCCAAATTTGGCAAAGTCCTAGGGGAAAAAACTATACTCATAAATTGGTATAGGAATTACAAATATGTTATTTTTTTTAGCAGAAACTTTATAATATATAATGAGATATAAGATGCTTCACATTCCAAGGAAATAATTCATAGTATAGCCCAAATAAGGCAAAAACAAAATAGATTTTCCTAAGTGGAAATTGTAATGGAGAAAAAATGAACTGAAATGTCTAAAAGAGTATTTCAGCATTTCAATATAAAAGTATCTCAGAAACTCAATAAATAGTTGTTTGCTTTATGTGTAAGGTTTTTTCCAATAAGATGTTTCATGTAAAAGTAATTTAAAATTGAATGAGAATATTAAAAGCAAATTCTCTAGAAGGAAAAATAAAATTTTCCAATCCCTAATTTGGGGGGGGAGTCTTTAAAAACATAACACTGGGGAGAGATGTCTTTCTTATTATTATGACATTATAAAGAAAAAATATGAATTGTAACCAGAAAGGAGAACTACATAGGATATATTTAGTTGCCTTTCATATATATATATATATATATATATATTTCATATATATATATATATTTCATTTATTTTAAGCTTTCATTTCTACCTACTGATAGAGGTGCAAAAATAATTTAAGAATGAGAATGCTTCCCAATAATTTCCTACTTTCTAAGTGCTATTATACACATTAGATATACAGAGTTTATAGCTCATTAAATTTCATAGTTTCTTCTAAATTTCACATAGCTTGTAAGTGGCAACTATGTAGGCTATATGGTATTTTACTGATTTGATATGCTATAATATGTTTACTTATTACTATGTTATTCTGTGTTTCAATTGTTTCCACTATTGAAAATGTACTGACTCTGTACTTAGACATGTACCCAATGCAACTGGGTTACTTTTAGCTGTAAGAAGTAGAAGTTTTATTTTTTATATCATTTGACCCACATGTTGTATCAGATGAAGAAATATATATTGTACAAACAGAAGGTTGAATATATAAAAACAGTGAAGACATTGAGCTTCTCCCTCTTATATTAGATAGGGACCCTGAATATATTTCATTGCTTTTTAATCATGAGTAATTGTGTTTGGCAATCATATAAGAAATCACTACTTGCTTATGCTCAGAACATATAAATGCTCAGACCAAGTGTGGATTCACAAGATTTCAGGTGGAAGCATTATAATTTATTTACCTTTGGTAATTAAAGTCAACTCAACACTCAGGTATCTTCTTTCTCCTTCCTACTTTTTTTTAAAAAACTATATTCATGTAAATTCATTTTCTTAATAGAAATAATAGTTAATATATGTATTAATATATGAACAACTACTGAGTCCCAAACACTATTTTAAGCATTTTACATACATACATCATTTTTTAATGCCACTCACACCTTACAGTACATATTGAAGAAGAAAACTAGCAAACACTAGTGGGTTTTTAATTCAGAAATATATTGATTTTCTTAACAGAATCTTAAAGACATATGTGTTCCAATAATTCCATTATCTTGCCACAATACTATAATTAAGCAACTGTGATAAGAATATCTCTATTCATAAAATGCATGATAGTTTACACAGATTTTATTTATTTTATTATGATTATTATTATTTTTTTTTGAGAAAGAGTCTCACTCTGTTGCCCAGGCTAGAGTGAGTGCAGTGGCGTCAGCCTAGCTCACAGCAACCTCTAACTCCCGGGCTCAAGCGATCCTTCTGCCTCAGCCTCCTGAGTAGCTGGGACTACAGGCATGCGCCACCATGCCCGGCTAATTTTTTCTATGTACTTTTAGTTGGCCAATTAATTTCTTTCTATTTTTAGTAGAGACGGGGTCTCACTCTTGCTCAGCTGGTTTTGAACTCCTGACCTTGCGCGATCCACCCACCTCGGCCTCCCAGAGTGCTAGGATTACAGGCGTGAGCCACCTCACCCAGCCTCCATAGTACATAGCATTTTAAAGGGTCATTCATCACCTCGTAAGGAAGGAATTTCTATTACACATAATGTAAAGGGAAATAACTTCACAAATGGTAACTGGCAGAGATGCAAGCAGAATTCCAATCTCCTGGGCCAGTGGTAGTCTCCTCCTTGTGGGGAGTGAGGAATGAAGAAGGGCTCACAACTGCAGAAGGTTAGGAAACCACTAACATAAACCCCAGGCCAGGAAGAAGCAACTGCCAAAAGAGAAAAGGAGACCTCTGCGCAGGCATTTTCTCCAGACTTTGTATTAAACAGTACATTTCAGTCTTAAGAGCTTGACCCCCTACACACACACAAACACACACTGGTGAAGCCCTTAGAAGATGAGAATAATTGTTAATAAATATGTTAATCTAACTGGTAGGAACACTATGTACTGTTGTTTAATTATTAGAATTTACATTCCTTATAATGGCATCTTAAATTCTGTGCATGTTTCCACATACATATTATATGATTAGAAAGGATAAGATAGTAGAAAATAACAAATACAGAATATTTTATATCTCCTTAAATGTGTAAAAAGCTGAGACACACTCTCATAGCACCTCACACATAACAGGCAGTCATTAATACCTTGGTACATTTGCTGAAAACTGAAAGTGAGCTATAGAATTCCAAAAATGATTACAAATACAAATATTTTTAAAAGCATAGCTTCTTTTATCAAATGTACACATGTTAACAATTGAGAGGCATTGGTTTTAAGAATTTAAACTCTTAATTTCCTTTCAGACTCAGTTACTTTGATCACCTTATTATCTGGCAAGGAAACAGACATACTAGCATCCAAGAAAATGCAACAACCTAGTCTTTCAAAAATTTTAATGGAACATTAACAGAAGCACATAAAGAAAGAAGATTTTTCTCTTGATTACCTATTTACCAAGGGTAAGAAGGAAATATATACATTTAATAGCTATCATTAAAATTCACTGAGCAAAACAGGAACATCTAGGGAAGACAGGGTTTAGAAGAAATTCTGAACTTTTGATACACATGAATTTGGAAAATTACTCCAGCTTTCACTGAAATGTCACTCTTTGGCACTCATCAACTTCATTTTATAAGGAATAAAGCTATATTACAATAATGAGATTCTTCAACAATTCCCACAATTTTAGAAAGAGTTTAAATCTCTGCTGGTGTGTTCCATCTCTTAACAATGATAGGCTGAAATTTACTTAATGCTAAGAGCTTGTCAAAAAATGATAAAGTGGATATGTAATATATAATATTACCAAGTGTTAAGGTTTTAAAAAAACACAGGCCCTAAATCATACCTGAAATAGTTCATAAGATAAGGTCGACTATTTCTAAGGTAATCAGATAAAAAAATTAAGAATGTGGTTTTTTGGCTTTAACAATGATATAATCAATACAAAATATATTTTTTAATTTAAACATGTCTTAAGTGAGATTTAAAAAAATGTGATGCTCCTGTTATCTGAAATGAATCAAACACAAATTTCTATTTTGTCATCTAAACAAGTATTCAAGATTTGTAACCTTGGCTTCCATATTCAAATTGTATATTTTATGATACATGCATATCAAATCCCAAGTTATTAAAAGCTATCAATATGATTCTATATACTTCTCCTAATAACATCTGTTATTTTTAAAATAAGTTTTATGAAGAGATAATAGTAGAAATTATGCTTTTAATATTCAAGTGTCACGAAAAATTATTTGATTACTTCTTCCTCTAAATTGCACTTAACCTGCAAAAACAGATCAATGGAGATAAATGGGGGTTAAAAATTTTTTTTACACAAGCCCAAAATAGAGTTCAAGAATTAACATCATAAAAATTCCTTAAATTAATTAGATCCATTCATTTTTCACTGTTATTTACTATCATTCATAGAGAGTTTCTGAAGCAATGGTTATTGCTTTTTAAAAATCATATGAATTAAGTTTTTTATAATGAGCAAATAAAATGCTTTTGCTGATTATATAACACAAATAATTAAAATTTCAGTAGTAATTAAATCTAAGGCACCCTTTTTCCCCTTATTCATCACAATATACCTTCTCTTACTGGCTCATTGGTTGATTCTCCTTTTAGACTCAGCATCCTGGAGAAGCCATTGGAAAGAGTAGAGAAAATGCCACGGGTAAAATATCCCTGCTGCTCAGACTCCACTGACCCCACTGAAGTCGGCCACGGTCTAACAAATCTGATACTGCAGCGGGGTTCAGGTTCTGAAATAGATCTGGTGAATGGAGCCCGAAGCAACTGGGTGTTGACCAGGTTCGGCATCTCTGTTGATGTTCCAAGGACCTCATTAGCAGAGGAAGAAGCATTATTACCAACCATCTTTGGCAGGACCTTTTGTTGTGGTTCAACCAGGTCTCCTTTATTACTTTGCAATATCTCCCTTTTACATTCTTTCCACCTAAAGCTGGGATGTGTCTGCCACCGATAAGCACCCAGTGTCTTTCCTAGATTAGAAACAGCATATTCATTTTTCTTCCTCTTGTTTTTCACTGTACCACAGCATGGATAATTCTTTAAAGTGGGTCCCATCTCTGAATTTGCATAAACAGGTTCTGACAAAGATCTTCGATAGCTTGGAGGACAAGATGATGTTTGTTTCTTAAAGATGCTCATCTTCCACGACTCCATTTTTTAACAACTTCTTTAAACTATTTCTCTACTCTGCAGTCTTTGCAGCTGAACCACACTTGTCTGTGTAGTCCAAAACATTCTACTGCTTAAGCAGCTTTCTTTGTGTGGCTTTGAACCACAGAGCAGATGTTGCTGCTTAAGAGCTGGTGTCATGTTATTACTCCATTTTCCCAGATCTCCGAAATTTCAGTAGCACCTAAAAACCTCTTGCCTGAAACAAATTATCTCTAGAGTAGAGAGAAAGTCAAGGTTTCCAAAAGATCATCTCACTTCCTGCAATAGGTTACATTTCTATACTAGGCTTTCAGGAAATGACTTTTTTAAAAAATAAGAAGTGAAATAAAAGCAACAAAACCCTACAAACACCTTTATGGACGAACAGTAGTTAAATGTTCATCATGCAAATGACAGTGTGTTAAAAACAGATTGTGAAAGTACTCAAGCTGACATTCACACTTTCCTGAAGAAGAAAAAAGAAACTTGCCTAAAAGCTTCCTCTTGGAGTAACAAATCTTGAGAAGAGTTTTTAAAGTCTTCATTTCAGAAATTTAATTTCAAGCCAATCAATGCTATTTATACTACAACATATCTCAAAGTTAGTATTACTTTTCAACCAATAAGTATAGTTATGTACTATTTATTTTATTCAAGGTGGCACTGTCAGAGGAGGGGAAAAAAGCCAAAAGAAAGCCAAATCTTAAAATCCTTTTTAATGTACATATATACTATGGAGAATTTTAAAAGTATAATAGGCAGAAAAAAGAACACAGGCAGAGCCTATTTGCTATAAATATAAACTACAGCAAAGGAAAAGAAAATCTTAAGGCAAGATCTGTGGCAGCTAGAACATAGGAACATACATACCTAAATAATTTCTAGAAGAGGAAAGTTTGTCATGTAAATCTAATTGGGATAAGCTGGCTGAAAAAATATTTCCTATCTATTTAACCAAAAAAATTCCTTTATTCTTTGTGCTCCTTACAACTTTTAAAACAGAGCTGACAACTTAAAATTTTGTTAAAGCAAGTACCTTATATTGAACCAAGATGATGAGTGCCAAGGTTTTGGCTAGTTTTTTTTCGACTGTCTGCTCATAAACCCCTGAAAATAGGGGTTTCAAATGGAAACCCTGACAGACTTAAGACTACTAATAAAAGAGATATAACAAGGCAATCAAAATTACTTTGCAAGTTGCTTAAAAAATGATTTCATCTGGCAAACTAAAAAACTATCCACTTACTTGTAGAATGTGTACAACAAAAAAGAGTTTTCATATTAAGTTTTTCTCTTATTATGGTAAAAAGACTAAAGAAATTAAATATATCTATTCCTTTAAACATATTAAATGTTCTAGTTATTTCCATTATCATAAAGCAATAATCTCATTTTCATTTGTTTATATAGTCTCTAAGTTTACACATTTGTATATTAAAGAAATGAAGTATTTGGCTTTCTCAAAAACATATTAGAGAATCTTACAACTGTAGGTTTTTTCCTTTTTTAAAAAAACCTATAAATGTGAATGTGCACAAAGAAATAAACAATAAACATTAAGTTCTAATCTCTATTTACAGCATATCACATAATTCACAAAAACTAACATCCGAGGGAAAATAGATATAAATGTGTATAAATGAATCTAAAACTATAAAGCTTGTAAAACAAAGAGAATTTTCTCATGAGAGAATATTTTTGTGACCTGAAGATAGGCAAGGATTTCTGAGGACACATAAAGCAAAAACCATGATAAGAATACAATAAATATGCCTCCCTAAATGTAACAACTTCTGTTCAATAGATCATTAAGAAATTCAATAGGCAACTACGAAATGGCAAAAAAAATTATTCAGAATACAAAGATCTCAAACAATTTGTACTAGAATATACAAAGATCCCTACAACTTATTAGTAAAAAGAAAAACAAACCAATTTTTTAAAAGTAGGCAAAAGAGTTGAATAAACACTTCACACAGAAAAATATATTAAGGGCCAATAAGCATATGAAAAAGTACTTAAATTCATTAGTAACTAAGGAAATGTAAATTAAAGTCATAATGAAATTTCACTCATATCCATAAGAATGGCTAACATTTAAAGGAATTTATAAAATCAGATGTCAGTGTGGATGTGGAGCAACCAGAACTTTCATACTTTGTAATGGGAGCATAAAATGGTACAATTACTCTGGAATATGTTCGGCGATTTTGGGTTTTTTTTTTTTTTTAGTTAAACATACCCTAAGACCCAACAATTAAACTTTTAGGTATTACTCAAGAAATTAAAATACATATACTTATACCTGAATGTTCATGGCAGCTGTATTTATAATAGCCATTAATTGAAAGCCCAAATTTACATCACAATAGAATGGATAAATTATGGTATTTTCAAACAATGGAATACTATCCAGCCATAAAAAGAATGAACTATTAATTCACAAAACAATGTGGATTAATCTTGCAAACAGTATGCCTACAAAAGAATCTGAACACAAAAGAGTATGTAATGTATGTTTCCATTTATATGGAGTACAAAAGTAGATAAAACTAATCTATAATGGAAAAAAAATTAGAAAAGCAGTTCTCAGTGATGGAGGCCACTTTTAACTAGAAAGGGGAACCACGAGCCTTTCTGGGATGATGGAAATTTTCAAGTCTTAATGATGTGGATTATGAGGGTTCATGTACTTGTCAAAATTCACCCAATTGTTCCTTTAAGATTTAAGCATGTTCCCATAATTAAAATTTAGCTTAAAAAATTATAAGCAACACTGACTCCAGTAGTTAGTAGGTTTGCTTATCCAGTGTTATAGATTAGCAAGCTCCAAACCACTTTTTGTATATTCTAGGCTTGAGGAAAGGAGTAATACATTAAACAGAATGAATAAATGAATAAACAAATGACTGAATACCTATATTGGAACAAACTCCTATTACTCGCCCCCTGATGTGATGAACTGTGAAGAATACTGTATCGCTCATGTGTTATTCCTACAAAAACACATAACCTGTATCTAATCATGAGCAACAAAAGACAACCCCAAATTAAAAAACATTTACAAGATAACTGTCCTCCTTGCTTCAAAAATGTCAAGATCAAGAAAAACAAGGAAAGACTACAGAACTGTTTCAGTATAAAGGAGACTAAAGATAGACAAAAGTAAATGCATGCTTTTGGACTGGATGGGGGGATAGCTATAAAAGACATTATTGGAACAAATGACAAAATTTGAATATGGATTGTGGATTAGATGATAGAATCATATCAATGTTAAAAACCCTTATTTTAATAATTTGACTGTGGTTATGTAAGAGAATGTTCACGTTCTTAAGACAGGTAGACAGAAGTAGTTAGGCCAGGTGCAGTGGCTCACACCTATAATCTCAGCACTTTGGAAGGATCGCTTGAGGCCAGAAGTTCAAGTGGGCTGAGGTAACATAATGAGACCCTGTCTCTACAAAAAATTTAAAAATCAGCCAGGCATGGCATAGCACACCTGTAGTCCTAGCTATGCAGGAGGCTGAGACAGAAGGATTGCTTGAGCTCAGGAATTCAAGGTTACAGTGAGCTGTGACTGCCACTGTATTCCAGCCTGGGTGACAGAACAAGACCCTGTCAAAAGAAAAGAAAGAGGGAAAGAGAGAGAGAGAGAGGGAGAGAGAGAGAGGGAAAGAAGAGGGGAGGAGAGGGGAGGAGAAGGGAGGGGAAGGGAGGGGAGGGAGGGAAAGAAGAGACAGAAAGAAATATTAGGGATAGAGGGTCACAATGTTTCCAACATACTCTCAAATGATTCAGAAAAAAAATACATATAAAGGTAGATAAACTATGATAAGGCAAATGGGGAAAATGTACATAATTTTTGAATCTATGTAAAGGGTATATGGGAGTTTCTTGCATTCTTGCAAATTGTCTATAAGTTTGAAATTACATAAAAATAGAATTCCTTTGAATATATATTATTATTACTAATACTGTAATTAGTATTCCTTTTTGGGATTCCTAAAGCTAATTCCTACTGTAATTAGTATTCTTTACTAATACTGTATTAGCATTCCTTTTTGGGAATATCTTTTGAGTATTATAAGAAAATATATGGTTTCACAAATTTTATAGAGGAGAGAAGTTAATCAAGATCATCCTATTAAAATACCTCAGCAGACAATTAAAATGTCTATAATTTTGATAGAAGTTGCACAGTAGGAATAGAATTTGAGTCCTGAAATCAACAGTGTAAAATTTAGAGACTCAATGTTAAGTGAGAAAATATTCTTACACACCAAATAGGTATGGTTAAGAAGAATTATGATCATTTCTAAACCATCAGCTCATTTCTTTTGAAAAACTACCACAATTCTTTTAACCATAAGCTTCCCTATTTGAGAAATATGGAACAGGAAAATATTAAATAACAGAAAAGGAATCGAGTACAATCAGAAAGCAGAAAGAACCACAGTTTGAAGAAGTGACAGATGATACAAGGAACAAAGAAATAAAGGAGAAGGTTCAGCTTTCTCACAGC